GTATCACTTTGAGGTACTTTATACAACACTGCCTAAAACTAAACTAAACTCAATTCACACCTTGGTCCTAAACCCAGCCCACCAAAGGTTTTTAAACCAAACGGGGACTCGACTTTTGTCCCCAAGGGAAGGCATTTTGTCTTAAAATTGCCCCCAAATGTCACCAGAAACAAACACACACACACACACACACACACACACACACACACACACACAATTCTGGACATTACACAATCACTGCCTCTCACGGTGGTGAGAAACATAAAACAATATGTTGCTGGTTTCAACAACATATCACACAGTTGGGAAGCCCTGTATCCTTCCTCTGACCAGCAGGTGGAGACACATCCTGCACATGAGTTTGAAAAAGCATAAAAAGAGGTCCCAGTTTGTGTTTGTGACAAGGATTCAGTAAAAGGGTCAATGTGCAGATGTCATCAGACTAAACCTACGGAGGTCTGGTTATTAAAGATGATTAAAGGAAGACTCCAGGACCAGATCAGACCTCGTGTGTCAGGAAGTCTGGGAACACTTTGAAGGAAGAACTGTTTGAAGGTGAGCTTCTTCACAAAGCCGTAGCTGGTAGTGTGGACGGACGCGTCTTGTTGGACGTGGACTCATCCTGTGGTGAGAAGTCCACCGTGTCCGAGTGCTGCTCCTGCTTCCAAACCCGCTCGTACTCCTGCTTCAGCTCCTGGTACGAGCGGGAGAAGGTGTGGAAGATGGAGGTGGCGGGAAACGCCATGATGAGGATGCCGCTCAGGATGCTGACGAGCGCCACCACCTGTCCGGGGACGCTGCGCGGCACCATGTCGCCGTAGCCCACCGTGGTCATGGAGATGATGGCCCACCAGTAGGAGGCGGGGATGCTGTTGAACCGGTGGTGCGGGTTGATGGCGGCGAATGGCGCCAGCTCGCTCTCCGCCAGGTGCACCAGGGGCGCGAAGAGGGTGACGGCCACGCAGACGAAGAGCAGCAGCAGCCCGAACTCCCTCATGCTGCGYTGCATGGTCAGCCCCAGCGTCTGCAGGCCCAGGGAGTGGCGCGCCAGCCGCATCACGTAGAGGATCCTCAGGGCTCGCAGCAGGCGCAGGATCAAACTCAGCTTGTCCAGGTAGCCTCTGCTGGCTCCCATGACCGCGTCCTCCCGGGACTCGTCGCCCACGTCGAAGACCAGGGACACGTAGTACGGCAGGATGGCGATGGCGTCGATGATGTTCAGGGGGCCGCGAGCGAAGGCCAGCTTGCTCTGAGCGTTGACGAAGCGCAGCAGGAACTCTAAGGTGAACCAGGCCACGCAGATGGACTCCACCACAAACATGTTGCGACACTTCAGGGAGCACTCGCCCTGCAGACACAAACACAGAAACAAGCTGAACCAGCAGTCCCTGTAGAGATGATTCAGTAAACCCTTCGTACACCAGAGTTAGTCATGGAGTTCCTCAGGGTTCAGTGCTTGGACCAATCCTCTTTACTTTGTATATGCGTCCATTAGGTAAAGTTATTAAAGAGCATGGGATAAATTTCCATTGTTGTGCTGATGATAGTTTTATTTATCCATGAAACCTGATGAATCCAACCAGTTACTTAAACTACAAGCATGTCTTACAGACATAAAAACATGGATGACTCCACCCGCTTCGGGTGTTATCATCCACGAAATGGACGTTATTAGGCATTATCAGTCCCCTACAATGGCTTCAGAATGTCCCGTCTGTGCCGGTTAGCAGGTTCCCCGTCCCATAGAATGGCTTCTGATTGTCAGCTGGTTAGTATGAGGCATAAAAATTCAGGTTAATATGAGGCAAAAAGCCACTAAGTTTAACCTTAGAGAAAATGTCATGGTTAGCGCTAAAGACACCGCCCYCCGACAGGTGTATAATGTGGCCTTCCAATAGGGTAATGGGTAGAGCGTCGGACCACAGAGCGGGAGACCAGGATTTGAGACCGACACGGACAGCAAGAGCAAGGACCGCCACCAGGCAAGGACAAAAAATTTGTTTACATATGTTTTGGTTATTTATATATTCATTGTTATTGATACATTAACCAACTAGGGGGCACTGTCAGGACAGTCTGAAGGCTAGAAGGCACAGGTGGGACATTCTGAAGCCATTGCATGGGACTGATAACGTCTAATAACGTCCATTTCATGGACTGATAACATCAGAATCCCCTGATGACTCTTAACTTCCTGCTTCTAAACTCAGATAAGACAGAGGTTCTGGTTCYTGGACCTGAACATCTTAGGGATCAACTTTGTAGCCTTTCAGCTCCTCTGGATGCATTAATCTGGCCTCCAGTTCTAATGTAAAGAACCTTGGTGTTATTTTTGATCAGGACATGTCTTTTAACCACACACACATTAAAAATGTTACCAGGACCACCTTCTTCCACCTGTGTAATATCACTAAAACCAGAAATATCTATAGCTGTGAATCTCAAAAACCCTGTGTTAAACTTTTTTTTAAATTATTTTTACAATTTTTGGTGGGCTCACCATTATTGCTGAAAGATTAGGATTAGATAAGGTTCCTGACAAGAACTGGAT